CATGCGGGCAGTTGAGGTCGAAGCTCACAAGATCCGGCCCAAAAGGCCGGTCACTCTCCAGGCTCCGGTGAGCAAAACACAGATCGGAAGTCCTCTCGTACGGGATTTCGATGGTGGTCGAGTTCAGGGCCTGGATCTCCGACACCTTCACGAGCCCGTATCTTGAAAATTTTCCGACCAGTGTTTCTATAGACGGCAACCCGGAACCCCCCGGCGCGAATTTCAAGATGAGGCTGCCACCCGGATCTTCCTTTCGGGCCCGTTTTTGCTGCTGATGTGTCCCATCGGACGTTGAGCTGTCGATGATTTCAGGGGGCTCAGTTTGTAATTGTGAGTCCCCATCGATATCAGGGGCTACCCAATCGAAAAAATCGGACATTTTATTAGTAACGCCCTTTCCATTTCCATTTCCATTTCCATTTCCGAGCTCCATTTGTGGTGAAATTTTCTCGATCTCGGCCGGCTGACATGTCTCCTTATTTATAGCAGCGGGCCCCACTTGACCTATGAAAGATTCAGCAATGTTTGGTAATTTGCTGACCGAATCGACATTCGGACATGAAATTTCGGATTCTTTTTTCTTCACCGACTTAGTTCCTTTCTTCTTCTTCTGCCGTTTAGTTTCCTTGCAAGAAATCTTGAGGCGGGTTTTCTCGTGTTTCGTTTCTTGATCGACCCGACCCTCCTCCTTATCGGCTATATCACCATTCAGAAAAGCATACCACCGAAAACTATAGTAAAACCTCTCGAACGAATCAGAATATTTGCTTCCTTTGAGATTAAGCGGATCGCAAACAGTCGAGCGGAGTTCGGCTAACAGTTCGGAAGAAGGAGCATTAATATCGTCTGATTTACTCACAACATGATGCACTTTCACAAAAGGATAGGATAAAAACTTGTTCTTTTTCCTTTCCCTATGAGAGCTGGAAGAAGATAGTTTATCCGCAGAAGCAAGGTCATCATAATCGCTCGGGATTCTCTTCTTTTTAACCCTCGATGATTTTTCACGGCCTCCATAACTATAATTACAGCCTTCAACTTTGACTTCATCCAACGACACGTCCCGAGCACAGACTACCTGCATAGGAAGCTCACGATGGCCTGATGAAAGGTAAAACGATGAGAGCCGATTTTTCACCACCGTCAACTCGATTTTATCAGGTGAACAACTCGAGCTGGCAAATTTTCGGACACACTTCAAAAATGATGCAGGATCAAAACAAGACAAGGACAGAACATCATCATCGATTTTTTTACCTTTTGTATCCATTGGTGTAAAATTTTCTTTCGAAAAGCAAGGGCATGTCATCTTTGACTTCACACGTTGACCGAACACAGACAAAGCCTTCTCGACCGAGCCACGGAAGCTTCTAGAAGTGTTCTGCCTGGACAGCTGTTCGTAATACTCGATAAATGGCTTCAGGTCCGAATTGCTGCACCAGATGAGATTTGCATGCCCAAAGTATTTGACGAGGAGGAAGGCACCTTTTTTATCGGATTTCGCTTTGTTTATTGACGGGTCGGATATTATCCCGGGCCACCAAAGTGGGGTTTGGGTTTTAGCCCAAACCAAGTCCCCCACAGCAAACGTGCATTCGTTTGCCCTTTCATTCTTGAAAATTAAATTTTTATTAGTGTTTTCTCCATTTTTTTCGAGCAAACTATCTTTTTTAACTTCCTCCTTCACATCCAATGGGCCAGAAACTTCCACGAACAAGTTAATACCTTCTCCGGAAAATTCTATATCCGTGGGCGAACTGGGCTCGGGACAAAGAGACACATCATCGCTTTTTATGACACATTCCTCAAACTTACCAACTTGAAAACCCACATTTGGCACGTCTTTATTGATTCTTTCATCGAAACTCGCTAAAACTGACATCTTATGATCGGGAAAAATAACCGAGCCACACCCTTTATTGAGCTCATTATTTCCAGCAACACCATCACTAACCGTAGATTCTCTTTTGCTCCCTTCACCTAATATCCCAGCTAATTTTACATCATTTACATTTACATTTACATCCGGGCCAGCGTTATATACATCGTTTGTCGAACATTTATTACTACGACTACACACAGACACATAATCATTTTCTTCAGGGATTTTCTTACAAGACTTTTCAGTCTGGCTAGGTTTAAAACCCACAAAACCCTGTTCTAGGGTTCCTGACATCATCCTGTTACACATTTCAACAATGTCCCATAAAGATCACACCTTTTCCCCTTAAAAATCAACCAAAGCTGTTATAAAACAAGAAAAGGTACATGTCGGACAATTTTTCTCCATTTTCACCAACATAAGTCAATATATCCCACAAATTAGCCAAAAAAAAAATAGAATAAAAGAAGCAGCTGTGAGTGTGACATAGAACACAAGGGGGCTGAAAATTACTAAGAAAAAGCACAAGACACAACAGGGAAAACAAAAATAGAAATGAAAACTTGCATCATAACAACGGCAATTGAAAATTGAAGAAATTTGCGAAACCTTATAATCTCCAATTGTCTGACAATGTTAGCGGAGTGAGGCGCTTATGTGGGGATCCATTTAGAAACAGAGAACTGAAGGAGATTTTATGGTTTTCGTGTTGTAATAAGTGAAGAGCAGTTGAAGTGAAGGTAGTGAAAACTGAAAAGTGAGAGGGTTTTTTTATTACATTTTCAAGAAACTGGACCGGGGAAGTACAATGATTTCTTCTCTCTCTCTCTTTGTGGAGTTGGGGGTGAAGGTGGCAATGGAGATTTCAAGACACGAAGCCCAAATAATATGCATTATAAAATAACAACAACAACAATAACAAAAGCTTTTTAGTCCCGTACAAGTTGGGTAGGCTAGAAATGAAACCGAGGAGAACCAATGATAAGAGAAACGCAAAAATAGTTCAAAAACAAAAGGAAGAGATTGGAGCAAAAAAGAAAGGAACAAAAGTCACCACTCTGTCACGTTGCTACAATTTCTACGACCTTTCCACTGAACAAGCAAGGGATTGAGCAAGACGCGCGAAAGCCGTTGCTTGTTCAGTCATAGAACTTTTTGAAAGCCGGCGATTACTAGCGATTCCGACTTCATGCAGGCGAGTTGCAGCTAAATCCTTGAAGATATCCCAATATGCATTATAAAATAAAATAAAATTACAGATACAGTTAAATTTAGTATTATATTTGTTTATAATTAAATAAAATGGATAACAAGAGAACACAATAATAAAATACAAAAACAGTAGCACAATTTGACGCCTTAATTTTCGAATTTAATTTTTTATTATCGAACTCTTCATCAATATATATAGATTGGCGTGAAAAATAATGAAAAAGAGATAAGTAAATAGTAGCATTTTTTTTTTTTTTT